TTGTCTAAGGCACTTTCTCAGACACCCTCTTTGATCCCTTCCTTCCTAGCCCCTTTTTAGAACTTTCTTTCCATTTCATTCTTTCCTTCGCCCTCATTATTCCTTCCCTCCATCCCTAGATCTAAGAATATAGAAAATTGGTGAGCTTTGGACTTGTACATGTAGATGATGCTATGTCCCTTCCAGGGGAACAGAATGTGATATTTGATACATTCTATAACATGTTTTAATGTGTACCAATCTATGTTTATTGCATGTTCAGCACTATGAAGATCTACTTTGATAGTCAAGTAAAAATAATTTGTCATTATGTCAAGTCCTGATGTAAACTGAAAAAAAAAAAAAAAAAAAAAAGCATAAAATGCAGCAAGCCAGGAAAGGGAGGGGGAGAACAGGAACAGGAATTTGGAGGGATGAAATGCTGGGGTTCAACACGGGGGTGCGGAAGAGGGGGCTTGATAGTGAATGAGATATGACCTCAGCTACACAAGGAGTGCCTTGTTCAGTATGTCTACAGACCCACAGACTTGGGGAGGGATAATTGACAATAAATGGGTAGCAGAAAGTGTAGCCTGTGCATGTAAGGCTCAGATATGAGTTCCTCATGTACAGTGTATGTATAATCATACATGGACAACAGAAATTCTAAATGCTCAATACACATTGATAAACATATTATTTCCTTAAGATGATGTCTTTTTTTTTTTTATATGTATATCTAATAAAACATGGAAAATACTGCTCCTACAGACATAAAAAGGCAATGCTTGAAAACATAAGTTCAATGTGGAAATAAAAACCTTTTCTCTGGCAGAATGATATTTCCAGGATGGCACAAACCCTCCTGTATCTACAAAGGATATTCTGAACTGGCACACTACTTGGAAGCCAATACCTCAATCTGACACTACCAGTGTACTCAAGGGGAGTTATTCTAGGTTATAATGAATGCTTTCATTCACTGCTTTCTTTATCTCCCTTCCTCTGCCCTATTCCCTAGCTTCTCTATGTACTGGATTTTCTTTACATGTTTCCATTATGAAAAATGGGAACAAAACTACAGTAAGTATTAATGTGCAGTAATTCAGCATACAACACTATAAAAACCCAACGCATATGTTATATGAAATAGCAAATGCATTACAGATTATCAAAATGATCAGCTTTGTTTCAATCACAAAACAAGCTCATTTGTGTAATAATGCAAAGCAATAATATCTGCCCATTAATATTTAGCTACAATCAGAAGAATAAAATCTCACATCATAAAAAATAAACAGTAAATAGATTTTTGGTTTATTTTTAATTACACCAGAACTCATAAATTCCTGAATGACACAATGATTCGACACCTGTTGCATGTCTGGGATTCAGGTCTGCACAAATGTAGCAGTTATCAGGACAATTTTTACCTTGCTCTGATAGTTTTCAATCTCTTCCTGCAGAAAGGTCTGCCATGTTATCTGCTGGAGCTCTTCACGTAAATACTGGCAGGTTTCCATATGGGATTTGGAGATGTTCTGAGCAAGATGTTCTGTAGATAAGAAATAATAGTAATCAAAATGTCAAACTGCAGACACTGCTTTCTGTAAATGAATGGGTTAAATGCCAAATCAATTAAACTTGCACTTGAACGTGAAAGTCCCAAGGATAACGTAAAAGTCCCAAGGATAAAGTGAACGTGAAAGTCCCAAGGATAACGTGAACGTGAAAGTCCCAAGGATAACGTGAACGTGAAAGTCCCAAGGATAAAGTGAACGTGAAAGTCCCAAGGATAAAGTGAACGTGAAAGTCCCAAGGATAACGTGAACGTGAAAGTCCCAAGGATAACGTGAACGTGAAAGTCCCAAGGATAACGTGAACGTGAAAGTCCCAAGGATAACGTGAACGTGAAAGTCCCAAGGATAAAGTGAACGTGAAAGTCCCAAGGATAAAGTGAACGTGAAAGTCCCAAGGAAAAAGTGAACGTGAAAGTCGCAAGGATAAAGTGAACGTGAAAGTCCCAAGGAAAAAGTGAACGTGAAAGTCCCAAGGATAAAGTGAACGTGAAAGTCGCAAGGAAAAAGTGAACAAGAAAGTCCCAAGGAAAAAGTGAACGTGAAAGTCCCAAGGAAAAAGTGAACGTGAAAGTCCCAAGGAAAAAGTAAACGTGAAAGTCCCAAGGAAAAAGTGAACGTGAAAGTCCCAAGGAAAAAGTGAACGTGAAAGTCGCAAGGATAAAGTGAACGTGAAAGTCGCAAGGATAAAGTGAACGTGAAAGGTCCATGGATAAAGTGAACGTGAAAGGTCCAAGGATAAAGTGAACGTGAAAGGTCCAAGGATAAAGTGATCTTGTACTCCTTTTAAACTTCAGAGTGAACTCCTGCCTAAAGGTCATGTCACTTTGCTGACTCTTTCTACCAAATCATTATGATTTAAAGTGGTTCTAAAGGCAGAAGGTTTTTAAACATTAATGCAGTCTCTGCATCAAAGTAATAAACCTTCTGTGATTAGCTCCCAGCCTGCCCACCCCCTCCCCCTCAACCCCCAAATACTTACCTGAGTCCAAACTTGATCCAGCGCTGTGCTTGAGAGCAGCAGCGCACTCTATCTCCTCACTAGACAGTAGGTGTGGGGTAGGGCCGAGCCACGCTGTATGTGTCAAAAGACGCACACATCCCAGCTCAAGATTGAGCCTGCACTAGTGTCCCCATATCAAGCAGCTTGCTATGGGGGCACTTGGAAGGGAGAAAGAGCCAGGAGTGCCACAGGGAGACCCCAGAAGAGAAGGATTGGGGCGGTTCTGTGTAAAACCGCTGCACAAAGCAGGAGAGTATGGAGTCTTATTTTTTTTTAAGTGTACCTTTACAATCACTTTAACTCACGTTATCTTATGATAATGCATTTTTGTTGCATTAGCCATTTGGATATTTCGCTCTATGGTTGCTCTACTGCTAGCAATTACAAGTGCACAGAGTTTCAGCCAATGGGGAAGTGACATTCATTAGGCAAAGTGGCAGCTGTATTTCAATGATTCTGCCCCTGGGAGGTGTAGAGTGACTGGCAGACTGATCACTGTGATATGGCTCTAAGAGCAGACATCCCAAGATGCCTGACATCCAGAAAAGCCGATTCTCTGCCCTTCTCTAATTTGGCTTCACTTGGTTATTGGGCCTGGACTTTCCCGACTTCAATATTAAAGCCTAACTAAAAACTCTCAAAATACCTTCACACCTCCCAGTCCACCAGGCTAGACAGCCACCGTCATCTTCTCCCCGGCCACTTCTGGGTGCCAGGTTTTTGGCCTCTTGATTAGCTGGTAGGTGAATGACGTCATCTTTGCACATGTCAGTCATTCCGGCACAGCCAGAGTGTGCCAGGAATGCATGCTGAGCTGTGCAAGGCTGTGAACAGGCAGGTAAGTGTTTGTTCTTGCAGAAGAGATATAGCACATAAGGAGATGCCTGCTTGCAGTTTTCACTGGTTAAGTTTAGTTCCACTTTAAGCCCTATCAACTGCCATTTTACTTTTTGGAAACATTGCTTCAGTGGCCAGTGAATGCATTAAAATGAAACTAAAAAAAAACGGGAAAAAAACAAAAATCTATGAGCACAGACTAGTTATCACAGAAGTGACATGTTATGTCTATTCTGCAATAAAAACTTACTTGCCTGTTTGCTGTCTTCTTTACAATATACACTGAGCTGTGTTTGCAAAAGCCCAGAATACATCCTCAGCATGGTGCCTATGTGGCGGGATAAATTAACTCCTGCACATGCTTTATGTCATCCTGTGCTGGCCACTCAAAAAAACAGCCCAAATCCTGGCACCTCGAAGAAGCCGGGGAGAAGACGCTGGGGAGAGACCTTGTAGTCGTGGAATTGTTGGAGGTATTTGCAGCTTTATTTCTACTATATCACTTCACAGGGGTATAGTGGCTGGTGGGGCAAGACCAGGAAGTAAGGAATATCAGGCCCCAGTAAGTAAAGAGCAATTGAACCACAAAAGATGATTTTCTAGATATTAGCATCAAACACATTGTTCTATCTTCTCTCAGACAGGGGTCTTCCCTTTACACTGTGACTTCATGTGGGACTGTACAAAAATACTGACAGCGCAATGATGATTTTTATGGCAAGTATAAGCAAAATGTCATAGATAAGTTTCCAGGCATAAACAGAGGTTTGAAGAATCAAAAGAAAAATCTTGCAAACTCATTTATAATGAAAGAAAAATCTAGCAAACTAATTAAAAAAAAATTGCTGTCGGATCTAAACTGAAGATACTTAATCATACGGTTACAACTTTATGGAAAGCCATGACATTGGTTTTTTTAGTCTTCTGGCCACAACTACATAGATCACTTTTATTCATTTATTTATAATTTGGAACCAGTTGTTGGTGTATTTTATGCCATTGCTAAATGTGACTGATATATCACAGATCAGCCTATTCATCTATCTATCTATAGAAAGGAAAAGTCAACCAAACCTCAGCTGCTCATTCGTGGCTTTTCTCTTTTCTATGTACAGGCAGAATTTATTTTCACATTATTCTTCATAAATGTTCAGTAATATATGTATGAAGGTGAGCTGCCAAATGTCCAGACTCTTGACAATTCTAATCAAACCAATTACAAAAGCAGATAGTGTTCCAGCAATGCTATTTTTTTTTTCTTTCACCACATTGTCATCCTAAATATAATTTCCACTCTTGACAGCATCCAAGGCACAAGGCCAATAACAGGGCTAGAGAATACAGTTTAAAACATGATGACATTTCAGATATAGGCATCAATCCAACAGTTATTTTCCATGCAACTTACCAAGTTCTGCCATAGATATAGTTGGGGATGCTTCTCCATTAGTAAATGAGCAGTATGGGAAGAAGGACGAGGCAGGTGTATAGTCTGGTTCAGGTTTGATACCATTGACATCCAACCCAGACTGATCTGGGGATGGCTGGATATCTAGGTAGAAGCTGCTCACCGCTGACTCTGTTTTGCCTTCATCAGGCGTGTGCCCTTCCATATATCCTCCCAGGTCATCTCTCAGATCTGTGAGCCCATTGGGGGTCAGACCATATCCCGCTGGAGTTAGTGGCTCTGCCTCCCCTGGCTGCTGCTGGTGATCCCGCTGCTGCTGCATGCGATGTTTTCCATTCTGCACTTCCGCATATAAGCTGTCCCTCTGCTTTTTAGACATGCGGCCAAACTTTACAGCTGGAGGGAGGTAAAAAGCAATAAAGATGAGCAAAAAAAATGGAAAGTTGAGTCTTGAGTAACACACAAAAAAGCTTTTAACATTCCTTTTAGAACATTCTTTTTTTTACAAAATGCCCACTATTGTATTGATCAACTTCCAGCATCGAAGTATGTACTACAGAAAGTATGCAACATCACCAGTGCATTCTAGTTCTAAAATATTTTCAATATAGTGTTGTCCATTTATTTTCTTTCCTTATCGATTTTATGTCTAAAATACAAAATACTGTAATATTTTTTCTTTTTTAGTTTACAGGCGTACCTCGGTTTACGAACGCCTCAGTTAATGTAATTTTCAGTTTACAAATGAGAATCCATTGAAAATAATGACTCGGTTTACAAAAATTTTTTTCTCAATACGAACGGATTAATTGGTTTTCAATGCATTTACAAACTTTTTTTTAATCATGTCCCTGTACAGTATTTATGCCTTTAAAGTGCACTTTATAGTTTTGAACAGCTAAATCTTTTTTGGACTTTTTTCTGACCTCCGGAACAGATTAATTTGTTTTCAATGCATTCCTATGGGAAACCGCATTTCGGTTTTTGAATTTTTTTGCAATACTAAAAGTCCCACAGAACGCATTAAATTCATAAACCGAGGTACACCTGTACTTTATTTGCCCCAGAAAAAAAAATGGATTAAATACCAAGATTCAACCCTACAGACTTCAACAGAGCTAGGTGAAAAGTTTTGGATTTTTTAACATTTTGAGGATATTCCATGACCATGAATCGAACCCGAGGAGATTTCACTAACCCCTCGTTAGAGTATTGCCCTGTCCCTACTAACTGTGGCAAGCAAAGACAAAATGTTACAGAAACTAATTAACACCAATGTAAGGGATCTGGAAAATGATCATATCGCTTACAAAGGTGTATGCATTCACATGAGCTCTGGGCAGTACCGTCTCCTGAACAGAACCTCGGTGAATTGGCCTCGAGAGCGCATTCTTCACAGTAATAGCTTTCTTTAATTACAGACATAGCAAGAACTGTGATGTACTGCTACAGCCTATAACAACCAGTAGAATTGTAGCTGTTAATTGACTGATTATTGCCAGAACAAGAACATTTCTAAAAAGCAGCTACAAGTTGCTGCACATAATTAATCTTCCCACCATGCTTTTAAAACCTTTTACTCTGATGGCAATAAATACAATTTCCAGGAGCAATAAAGATGCTGTGTCTGCTTGGAAGCTCTCAATCAGTACTGGACATATCCCAGTCGCTGTAGTAACATTGGCTGGTTACAGGAAAACAACCTTCCTGCTCGTGTGGATCACACTGTAAACACTGAGAACATTGGGCAGACTACTGTTACAGAACACACTGCCATCTTTGTGCGCCCAATGAAGGGCTGCTTGCAGTAGTGTGTAGTGAGTAACAGAAACTGAAGATAGGACATTAAGGGGATGGAGAGGGAGGAAGCACAGTGGCTAATTGGTTATCACTTCCGCCTGGCAGTACTGGGGTTGTTGGTTCGAATCCCAGCCACGGCACCACCTGTCTGGAGTTTGCATGTTCTCCCTGTGCCTGCGTGGGTTTCCTCCGGGTACTCCGGTTTCCTCACACACTACAAAGACATGCTGGTAGGCGAACTGACTCCTGTCTAAATTGTCCCTAGTATGTGTATGTATGAATGTGAGTTAGGGACTTTAGATTGTAAGCTCCTTGAGGGTCAGGGACTGATGTGAATGTACAATATATGTGTAAAGCACTACGTAAATTGACAGCGCTATAAAAGTACCTGAAATAAATAATCTGGTGCAGGCAAATGCACTGCCTTTGCAACTTTTGTTTGGGGTGTCATTAACTTTGCACTGACAGCACTGCAGATCACATGGGCAGTGTGATTTAAATGCAGTCTGGGAAACAGGCATGGAATGTGAGTTTCCAGCACTGTGTTCTAGTGTGAACGGGCCCTTAAAGACATGGATTTTTTTCATAGTTACATTGATCCAGCTTAGAAGTGTGGATATGAAATAACTTTCAGACCACTGTGGAAGCAAAGAATCAATGTAGTAGTCACCTCCACTACAGTGATCAACACTGTCAGGAAGACAGCAGCAATCACTGTAACATCAGCAACTATTACATTGATTCTCTGCTTCCACAGATGTGTAAATTGACAGCGCAACCTGAATAAAATAAAATAAATAAAGACACATACAATCATGTGGAAGAGGGACAAGTCTAGTAAAATGTGGAGGAAATGAGCCTGGAGTTGTACACGCTGCTAGTCTACTGCAGTCTTTAGCTAATCTTCTAGTAGTTGTAGTAATTGGTCAAGCATACCGTACGAGCCACTGCTGGCAGAACTTGCTGGGATTAAAATTTAAAATATTCTTTAGGAGATTAAAGGCCAAGTTCACCTTTAAGGAAAAAAAATAACAAATGCACATATTTCTGCAATATAAAATATGTGCATTTATTATTTTTCCTACAGGAGACCACAAAGCATTGCACCTGTAATCAGTAGATTGCAGGGGTAATGTCAGACTCCTACACACTCCAACTTTCTGCCTGTACCTCCTTTCAGTTAGGAATCAGCTCACTCGTAGTCCACAGAGATCTAAAGACATCTGCTGCGGTGGCAGATGGGACTTGTAGTTTATTCATTCAGAGCTTTCTTAGAATGAATGACACGGCAATGTGGGTGGCGCTCTGGGGGTGGAAAGCAGGTGATTCGGAACATGTTACATACTCTAGAGATGTAACATGTTCCTAAAAGTGAATGTATCCTTTAAAGTGGGTGTAAAGGCTCAAGGTTTTTAAACTTCATACATCCTATGAAGGGGAGACAGAGGAGGAGGGGCTGAGCCACAGTTCTGCTTGTGAATGGACACACAGAGCAGTAGCTCGAGAGCGACCCTGCTTTGGTGCCCCCATAGCAAGCTGTTTGCTCTGGGGGCAGTCAGAAGGAGGGAGGGGCAGGAGTGCTGTCGGGTGACCCGAGAAGAGGAAGATCAGGGCTGCTCTGTTTAAAACCACTACACAGAGCAGGTAAGTATGACATGTTTGTTATTTTTTCTTAATGCTGTTAACATCACTTTAACGTTTATCGACATGGGCCGGACAGGAGTGCTGCCGAAGCGGGTGGATGTTTCTAAATGTCCCCCCGCATCCATTGCCTATATGCAATCCCTGGGAGCGCGTGGCACTGAGATTGGTGCCCGCTGTGTCCGGAGGAGACACCAGAACACAGATCATTGTACGGGACCTCTGTGTGAGGTCTTGATTCATGTGATCACTGATTGGCCAATCAGTGATCACATGAACAGTAGTAAAGAAGCTGTCACTTCCTGACATCTTTGTTTACTACTTGTGAAATATGTGAATGATCACAGAGGTCACGTGGTACAAGGCTATTCACAACAGCATTGTACCATGTGACAAACTGTGACCAATCACAGCTCACACAGTATTTCTGAATGGCTGCAGGAATGCAGCCAGAGAGAAGGAGAAATGATTGCTTTTACAGTCTTTATGGGTGTAAAAGTAATCAATGTAAAAAAAGAAAAGAAAAAAATCTTCATCACCCCCCACAAGTAGTACAGTGTCACAATGGTGACACCGTACTGCTAGGGTAGCAGTATATTAATAAATAAATAATATAAAAAAAATAAAAAGTAAAAATGTAAAACGTGTTTTTAAAAATTATAACTTTAGTTTATAAACTAATTTGGGGTTTTTTGTTTTTTTTCTACTAAAAAGATAAATACATTTTGGCCAAGATTTATGAAGAAATATTATTTATTTGCAAACTTTTATAAGAAAAATACTTTTTTTAAAAAAAAATTGAACTTTCATTTATATAGCAAACAAATTAAAAATCCAATGGTGAATAAATACCACCAAAATAAAGTTTTATCTGTCTCAAAAAAATGCGAACACATTTATATGGGTACAGTGTTGCATGACCACGTAATTGTCATTCAAAGTGTGATAGCACTGAAAGCTGAAAATTGGCCTGGACTGGATGGGGGTGAAAGTGTTCCGACTTGAAGTGGTTAAAGAGAAGGTTTTAAGAAGAGAAATTAATAAGCCGCCATTGCCAACCTCCTTCTGAAAATGTTAGTTGCCTGGCTGTCTCTAGCTTGAATACTTTTGTAGTCACCACCTCAATCAAATATGAACCATTAAAGGCAGAGCAAAGACAGAGCTCCTGACTTGATTGTATTTTTCCAAGCCACTAGATTTACTGCCTTCACTGATCAATATGACCGTCAGGCAGCTAAAACTTTTAGAAGAAAGATCAGCAATGGCAGCCTCCATATTTTCAGAATCACAATATACTAGGTAGCAGGACAGAGTGAAATGTAACATAAGTAAATGAGAACACTTGCATCATTGACTATATGCATCGTCCAGACGTGGGCAGCTGAAGACTTACACTGTGTGTGGGATGGCATTATGTATGACATACACTGTGCTGGTGTGTTACAGTGGACAAGCTCCTGAGATTTTCAGTTGATTTAAAAAAGCAAATTGTGCTTCCTTGTATTAGACAGTGAACAGAAGTGACGGCTAGAGCCCCAGGCTGTGCTGTGTGTATAGCTGGTTCTTCCAGTCACTAGACTGGATATGAAGAGTTATGTATTGCTGTGCAAGAGTTGGGTTAGCTACAAACATTAAAATTTCAATAAATCAATAGATTCTCCAATTCAGCGTAGATGGAGGAATGTTCTTGCAGCCACTGCTCCCATGGCTGTCAGAATACCTGACAAAGTGACATGAATGGCTGCAGTCAAAGTCTGTACTTTCCACCAGTCTCCTTAAAATTTCAGACAGCAGTTTTTAAAGCCTAGTCGTGGAAACAGGGCCACTCACTGCTTGTATTTTGGCTGATTCACCAGGAATCAGGAAAAACTGAGCCCTGTATGGCCAGATTTCTCTCCTTTAGTCCTCCATTGAAGCTAAACAGTGTCAATGGATTAATCTCCCCTACTGGCTAT